CATCGGAAAAAGGGAGCTATGACGAGGATGCCAAACATATTTGTGACTTCTGAACATGGTATGCACGTACAAGATACGAAAGCATACCGGAAGCGCATGTTACAGCTTTTGCGTCACTCTGTGGTGACGGAGGAGTCCGATTAGATATTGAATCACTGTTCGTAGTCCTAAACAGAGAAATTGAACAGGAACACGAATACATTCGATATTCCCCCTTTTTGGCTTTTCTGGGGAGATTTTGAAGCGGATTTTAAGATTCATATGAATTGCTCAATCTATTGGAGAAAAACAAAAATTTCTTTGAAAAAAAAAATTGGGTTAGTTAGAAAAGAGGAAATGTATTTCTTATGTTACAAAACTGTTGCTTTTGTTCAAGGTGACGAGACACCTTCTCCAACTCGATATCCACGCGAGCGCGAGCTATCAGTTCATCGTCCTAGCTCGAATGGACCACGCTGATCTAGTGGACGTTCGCGGGACCTAAGGCCCATTGTTAAAATGTCGCATCTGGTGGCGACATTTTAAAAGAAAGGGGGTGCCCTGTGAGGACCCGAACAGGGGTCGATTGAGAGGTCCAAATGAGGGGTATCGATCGAAAATAAAAAGCTCCTTTTCAGACGCTAAGGAAACGGATTAGGTGTCTCGAATGAACAATGCAATTGTTTTTTTTCGTAAATTTGTTAAACAATGGAAACGGATAAATTCGAGGAAAACGCGACGAGAGAGAGGAATCATATTCAGTCGCAACGTTGACCTCTCCCGCGCCCTTCATTAGGTTTCGAATTGTCACCAGGTGACTATGAGAGACCAATGGAGAGGCGACGACGGTTAAGAAATCTATAAAACCGTGCGACTCAAGGGACAAAGGTTCTTGGTTCTTGGTGCTCCTCTCCAGGATTTTTGTGATCCTACTTATCAACAGCGACCGATTCGTCAACTCCTGTGACTTACTGTCGCTCTCCCGTGACGTCGTGATTTGCACGGATTTGCCTTTCACCAGAGACTTTCGCCGAAGCTGTGCCGCACGCCCCGGGGCCGTCGATCTCAACGTACGACATCGAAGGACCAAACGGAGAAAGTCGGACCCTTGAAGGAACTTTTAATTTGCTCCCCGAGCTGTGTTACGTTGAAAATTTGAAGAACGTTGTAAGAATCTTTTGTAATATAATAAACGGGTTAAAAATGGTAAACCTGTCTCAGAAAGTCATTCTGCGCCCACACGACAGAAAGAACCGCTTGGCTGTCGAAAAACCCTCACCCTAATTGGCTGACCTCACATAAATATTGTTGTTTATCTTCTGTGTGAACATAGAGAAATTTTAAACTTTGGAAAAGCAGTCCAATATTGTATTAAGGAACTGTGTATAATATTTGTTTAAAATCTTTATCAAAAAAGAATATGTTTGTAACTTAATTTTAGAATAAACCAAATAACACATTTCAGGTCAGGATGTATAAAATTGGTACAGTCAACAAAATAGTTTGCAGGATAGTTTCAGAGGATTGTTAAAGATTATTTAGTAGTATTGAAATCAAAAAAGTTTGGTGGGATTGCTCAACAAGAATACTCAACTTTGAATTCTGTAGTATAAGAATTATCTGAAATTTGATAACTATAGATTACTCAAATAACTGCTCTGAATTGATTCTAATAATGAACTTTGAATTGGTAGTAGATAATGTAATGAGACATTAAACGCAACGTTTCCTCTTATCAGTTTAACAGAAGAAAGGGAATGGCTTTCAGTAACCCCAATTTTGCTTTTGGTCACTGTCGCACAAAGAAGAGAGAAGGATATTGAAGTTACAATGAATTGTGATGAGATAAAATGCAGCATTGACAGTTTGAGATTGCCAGATAAAGATTCAGAATTTAGAAAATTCAGATTATATATGTTACTGGCTAAACCTGATTTCAAGCCAAACTAGTTTATCCTATGTGTGTCAGGATATACTAGTTTAGCCTAGGACAATCTAGTTTGGCCTAAATACTTTAGGCTTAACTAGTTTGTCCTAGGCTGAAGTGATTTTAGAATTATTATTTAAGTCAGGCCTGGCCAACCCAAATTGTTTTGTTGGCCACTTTAATCACATGTAACATTACAATGGGCCACAATTTAGGCAAACATGCTTTTAAAAAAGTAAAACAAATACAAAATGAATAAGATTTCATTGTTATACCAAGAGTTCATACTCACACTTGTGCATTATAACAATGACACATGCAAATTTTCATTTATTTAGTTGTTTTGGTATACACAAAACGGAAAACGAAAGTTTTAATAGATATATAATATCGCCTAGCAGGCTACACAATTTAATGTGACAGGCTGTGGGTTGGCCAGGCCTGATTTAAGTATATTAATGGTTAAAATAAAATTAAAAGGCAGTCAATTAGATGAACAATATTTATTCAAACATAGTCTACTTAATTATAAAAAACAGTATTGATTAAAAGTGACACAACACTTGTACAAAACTATGAAATAAAAATAAGCTAATCAATACTTATCAGTTTGTACTTTTTTTATTAAGCCATGCACTTTTAAAGGTAATTAACAATTTAAAATATTTTCAAAAATTGAAACAAAATAATAAAAATAACGTTTAAAGTCAAATTAAAATTAAAATGAACTTGTTTGTGTTTCTTAGTGTAACATATAAAATATTTAATCTTTTATTTATTTTTACAGGGTGGGTTAAGTGTACTGTACCTAGGTAACCTCAATGATGGCACTTTGGACTGTTCGTGATTCCTGTGGACTCCTCCTGGAGGGGAGCCACCGGCAGGCTGCCCTTTGTTTAATGCAGCATTTCTCAAAGTGGGCAATAACACCCCCTTGTGGGCGATGAGTAAATCTAGGGGGCGCTAGGGGCAGGGTATTGAACAGTGACCAAAAGCAAAATTGGGGTTACTGAAAGCCATTCCCTTTCTTCTGTTAAACTGATAAGAGGAAACGTTGCGTTTAATGGTTTCCAGATGCTGAGAACAATGTACAGTAAGGGCACAAAGTATGAGATTCATAAAAAAGTTTTCCTAAGAATATTTCCAATCCTTCCTCATACAAGAGAAAATGGGTTAGGGGTGTTGGGTATAACTTTATGGAACAAAGGGGCGGTGGATCAAAAAAGTTTGAAAATCACTGGTTTAACGTCATTAGTTATTGATTCATGGTAGTTCTTGAACAAAAGAAAAAAAAGGAAATGTCTACTAAAAATGTAGTTAACCTAACCAAACCAGCCTAACCGAAGCACCACCATTGGAGTTACCTAGGTACACTTTAACCACCGGGTGTACTATGGTGGCATTTCGAATTACACAAAATCATTTTTTTTACACTGGCACCTATTTGTAGTACATAAAATCAGTTCAGTCTAGGTCAAACTAGTTAAGCCTAAAGTATTTAGGCCAAACTAGATTGTCCTAGGCTAAACTAGTATATCCTGACACTCATAGGATAAACTAGATTGGCCTGTAATCGGGTTTGGCCAGTAACATATACATACAGAAATGATCATAATCAATTTATTCAGAGAACAAGTTTAAAAATATGAAACAATTAGAACTGCAAATTAAATTTTATTTTAGGAAATTAATTTAGTTTAGACAAATGCAAATTGAAGTAGAATCTAAATCAAAGAAAAGACTGATGGAATTAAAAGCTAAAGAACACTGTAGTTCATGAGAGACAGAATAGAGGCAGAAAGATTGAAAACTTTAAGTTTTAAATTCAAAAAATTGAGCTAAAGTTGCTAAGCCATTGTTTTCATAAATTGCAGGCAATAGCAGTTTTCTTCTTCAAATGCAATAATTTTATGGAAGTGTATACTTTCAACTTATCAATCATGATGTTTGGTTTACTGAAGTCTTTGTTAGCCACAACAATTTCCTGTGACTTTGACACTTATAGAATCATAATCAGGGTATTTTGTGGCATAACCAGTTAGTGATAAGTTTTTGTTCTGACCATTACGAAATACTTTTCCATAAAGTGTACCCTCTTATATGATATAATAAATATATCTATTTGAAATCATTTTATTTAGTCATTAGTAAATGTAAAATAAGTCAATGATTACAAATATGATTTTACAAAAAATAGATTATTAAATTTTTAGTTTAATTAATCTACAATCACATGCAGTTTTTTCCACAAAACTGCATGCATAAGATGGCAATTTTCCTCTGATTTTTCACATGCATTTATGCTATACATAACTGCAGTCCTTTGAATTTGGTGATTCTGAAGAAATCTGAGATTGTGTATGTACAAAATTTCAAGATCATACATTGTTAGTTTATAACATATTGTTTTGTTTACAAAACAGTGTCTCTAACACTTTGTAATAATGTGGACTAATGTGAAATGAATTCAGCTGAGGAAATGAATGATGGGAGGGCTGAGGTATTTTTCAGAAATACTAGAAAATGATCTTTCTGTATTTTTTGGGCATGAAATAAATGAAAAAAATTTAAATTGTTGAAGATCATAGTGTCTTAGCTATTTTATGAAGACAAGCATTCAAGGTCATAGTGATACCAATGTCATGATATCATATGTAGTTGACAAATATCTATGACATTGTGACTCACTTTTGAGGCAATTTTGAAAAGTCTTCAATTTTCTGCTCTTGAAAATGATGTCAGAGCAGAAAATTATTGTCTTATGCATGCACTTGTGTAATAAAAAATTGTATGCAATCACATGCTTCATGTGGTGATTTTTCTACAGTGGTTTTTGAGGGCCTGTGATAAAATTTTTAGTCAGATGGATAAAATGAGCATGAGGATCTCATGGAAGCACAACTAAGTAAATCAAATATTTGGTGAAAAATTATCACAAAAAACTAGTACATGTGGAAAATTTCCTCCACATGTACTAGTGTCCTCATGTGATCACAGATTAATATTAAAACAATTGAATGAAATTTTAACTTTTTATGATTAATATAAAATTATATTTATATTATAATTAAATTAATGTTATAATTATATAAATTTAATTATATATCTAGATGGAGATAAATCCCTTGATTCACCATGTCCAGATTTTGGAAAATTTTTATATTTTCTCTTTGTACCAACACTTATTTATCGAGATAATTATCCTAGGTAAATAAATTAATAGTCACTTTGTATTAAATTTAATTGCTTAAAACAAATATTTTCAATTTAAAAATTAGTTTAGGTTTAATATTTAAATTCTTTAAACAAAACAATATTTTAATTTAATTATTTTAAGAAAGTTTCTAATTTATAAAAACTATTTTAACAGTATTGCATAAAGTTTTTTATTGAAAAGTAGAAATTCTTTACAAAAATAGTGCCCAATAGTAAAAAATTGTTATATTCTAATGATATAATAGAACATTCTCTTGGTATATTTATCTAAATATACCAAGAGAAGTTGGATTTGAAAGGACAGATTTCATTATCCAAGAAATAAATAATTAAAATTTTAACTTGAGGAACTTTTAAAAAATTTGCAAAGTAGATGGAGAAGAGCCTGTAAGGAAAGGTTGATTCTGCTACTGTTGACTGTTTTCAGACAATTAGAAAGGAAAATGTAGAAAAGTTCAAAACAATTTTTGAATTAATAGTTTATAATTTTACAAGATCAAAATTTAAATTTAAAAAAAATTTGGGAGTTTGGACTGGTTATCTGCACAAAATTATGATAAATTAAGAAAATTTTTTTTAACAACACGTTATTTTATATTATATTTTTAACAAATATAACATATCTTTATAATTATCTGTAATATTGTATAATAATAGTTTTAGAAATTTCTATTAAAATATATTTTTTTTAAAATAATGTAATTATTTAAATTTTTAGGACCTCAACTGTATGTTGGAAATATGTTGCTGTGAATTTCATTCAAGTTCTTGCTTGTCTGTTTTATATATATTATATATTCCAAAGATTCTGTGTGCCAATTTTTCGTAGATTTGGCCATGAAAGATTTACTCCAAAAGGACTACTACTATCAGTTTTTGGATGTATGATGCCAGGAACATTAGTTTTGTTAATAACTTTTTTTGCGCTACTTCATTCTTGGATGAATGCTTTTGCAGAAATGCTTCGGTTTGCAGACAGAATGTTTTATAAGGTAATAATTATAGAGAAATATGTTTATGAAATGTTAATTGATACTTATTATTGATAATTAGAGTATTAATATCACAGTTAATAACTAATTAATGAATAAATTTAATGAGATATTTATTAGACATAAAATACAGAATTTTATCATTTTTAACTCTAACTTTTTAAAATTTATTTTAATTTAATCTTCTGAACCATTCTTGTTTTTAAAAAACCTAATAATAATGTGAATTGTTTGTTTGAGGGTCAGATGTCTAGTTTTTGAGCACTGTCTTTCAAATATCTCAAAAAAATGAGAATTTTTTATTTTTATGAAACTAATAAAGAATTATAATTGCACTTTGAGTTTAAGAGCTCAAACTATAAGAAACAGCCTAGATAATGATGGTCCTAAGGCAATATCCCATGCCAAAAAAATTTTCTTCACATTCATCTTAAATGAGTAATAAATTTGAGGTCTAACAGCTAATTGTTTATGCTATGTATTGGAAAGATGTTTTATTACTAAATATCAGTATAACAAGTGTTTACTTTATAACAGTACAATAAGTCCTCATTTAACAGATTTCATTATAAAATTGGTAAGAAAAAATAAAAGTACCTTGTACTCATTTACAGTTATAGTTGAATTTTCTTTATAAACAGTAAACTTGATTTCATGATGTGGGAATTGAATGCTGGCAGCAGTTGCAAACATAATCCAATAGGAATAATAATAACCAATTATTTTATTTTTTTTTGGAATCTGATTAATATAATTTGAATTCATTATATTTTTACCTTTTATAAATAACATGAAATTGGATCCACATGCTGTTAATTTGGATGTATCCATCATTTAATGTCAATGTAAATTGTAAAAAAGCCTACCCTATTTGCATTTGTCATTTTAAATTTACTTAGTGCTCTCTATTGTTTGTTGGAATCACCGTCTATGTGGTAATACCTGTATATGTCTCTTACAATTTTTGCTTTGCAAACATTTATTTTTTATTACTCATCTTTATGCATCATTAGTGATGACTGCCTCATGCAATCCATCATCACTACGATTGCCATCGCTCACTGATTCAACAGGTCATAAAATATAGTAAAAGTTGTATAGAATTTTATAATCAAATCTTTAATTTAATTTTAAAGAAATTTTTCAAAATTAACATCAAATAAATTTCATAAAAAATAAAGAAATAAATAAGAGTATGATTTGAAAAATTAAATAATTACTTTATACATTTAAGAAAAATTAATAAGAACAAATATTATGGGTCACATTTTTTTTTTCAACTAGCAGGCATGCAGCACAACATAATATTCCTTTTATGTTTAATGAAAACAAATGCAATCCACATTGATAGTTAATTATAAGATCATTTATGAATCAGTATATGGAATTGTCCCTAAATTAAATAATGCTATTTTTATACTTTTCATCTACCATTCCACTTCCCATAATACTCCATAATGCAATGCATATACCTCACCCACAAAATTATGTAATGCTAATCCTTGATCAATCTGTAATTGTACTAAGGAATAATATACAAGACAAGTTTTTCCCCTTAGACTCATTAAGAGGACTTTTATTAAGCAAGCCCAAAATGGGTTCAAACCAGGCCCATAAAGAAGGCAGCCAGGCAGTGAGGGACAGGGTCTGACATATCTAAATGGACCATCACCAAAAATTTTTGAAGTTTTTTAATCTGTCTAGATTCCTAGGTTCCCAGAGCAATAAACTATCACCTTAACTGCTCAGCCAGATAGCTCTCATACACAGTACAGGATACTGAATATTATGCTGTTTTATTAATTATGTACAAAGCAGTGACATGTTTGGTTTGCTGTAGGTTTGCTAAGCAACTCTTCGGAAACAAAATGAATCATTTTGTCTGACAGTGCATTCTAGCAAATTGGAAATACTACTATTATTTCTGTCTTACTTCCAAGATTTAATGAAAGATTTAAACTATAGTACATTTCAAGTTAAAGGTTTATTATAATCTATACTAATATTATAAAGAGGTAATGTTTGTATGTATGTTAGTTTGTATGCAGCAGGTAATCTCCGAAACTACTCATCCGATTTCAAAAATTTTTTCACCAATTTTTAGAATGGAACTTCAAGGTGGACATAGGCTGTATATTATTCCGTTAAACATGGGGGATGGACAGTTCTTTATGGTAAGCCTTACGGGGAAGGCTTACCGTAAAGAACTCTGCTTCTATTTATACTATTTTAGATATGGTTTTTTGCATTTTTGATTGCATTTTAATAGAGTACGTCAACAGAATGTACACTAAGAAGGGATTTTTCGATATTCCCCCCGCGGGGGAGAGAGACAGGATTAAGGCTTACT